GGTCTTTGAGGTGAAGAGAGGCCAGGCACCCTAACCCTAACCCTTGACCTGAGTGATGTCAAATTGGCCTCGCCACCCAGTCACATGACCAACCAGCCATGCCCACCCAGTTACATGATTACCCAGCTATGCCCACCCAGTTCATATGACACTTTGTGTCACATGAACAGAAAGCCATGCCCACCCAGTCACATGCCCATCAAGCCACACCCACAAAATAAGCCACGCCCACAGAACTGGTAGTAAAATTTTGGAATCCACCACTGCTTCCATTGCAAACTACTTGATCTCAAATTTAAAAGATACTCCACTGCCCAAACGCGGTCACACGTATAAAAACAATGGGAGAAGCCTGCATTCACAAACCTCCCTGTGGTTAATGTATTTTCTGTGTCCACTTTTGCACACATCCATCAACTAACCACAGGGATGAAATCACACAATATAGTTGACTAAACTAGGATCAAGAAAACCTAATGGAAAGCAAAGTGAGATTAGGATTTTGGATTGATAGCTCCCAATCAATTAGTAAAGAGCTTTGCTATGGAAGACATGAGACAGTAGTAAATTGACTTTTTTTAAAAAAGTTTTTTATTGTGAAATATGACAATACAATTCAAACATTTCCGGTTCCGTGGTGTTAATACATATATACATGTTATTTACTTATTATTATTAACATGATATTCCTTCCTTGCATTATATTTGATTTGAAAGATATTACATATAATCATACACAATTCTTTATGTTCATATATACATATTATTTACTTATTGTTTACATATTCTTACATCCTCACTCAATTGCAGTTGATACTTCAAGTAGGAATACTTGATTCTATATAATCATTGTTAATTGATTATTGAATTAAACTTTATACTCCTCGAGCTTCACTTTTTATTTCTTTTCTCTATCCACTCATACCACATATCCCACATGGTATAATATTCTGTGTCCTCTCTATCGTTAATTTCTAGTGTTAATTTATTCATTTTGGCGCACTCCAATATTTTCTTGATTACATGTTCTTCGGGTGGTAATTTTTTCTCTTTCCAATACTGAGCGAAAGAGATTCTTGCAGTTGTTGTTATGTGCATAATTAAGTACCTATTCTTTTTTGCGTATTCTATTTTCAGGATTCCCAAGAGAAAGATTTTTGGCTCAAAATCAATATTTTCTCCTATTATTTCCATAATCCATTTCCTAATCATCCTCCAGAATTTTTTCGCTTGGGTACAGGTCCACCAACAGTGGTAATAAGTGCCTTGATGATGGCCACATTTCCAGCAATTCGGGCTCGTGTTAGGATAAATTTTAGCGATCCTAGATGGTGCTAAATGCCACCTATAGAACATCTTATATTGATTTTCCTTATATTCCTCCACACTAGTCATTTTGAGGTTGCTGTTCCAAATTGAGTCCCATTCATTTAAGTTTATATTTTGTCCGATGTTTTTGGCCCATGCTATCATTGGGTCCTTGACCACCTCCTCTACCATGTTGTAATCCAGCAGGTAATTGTATAATTTGGCTAGTATTTTATTATCCGTGCCCATCCAGATCTTATCGAATCCATTAGTACCTGTCTCTATGCCAAATTCCTCCTTGTCCTTTTTATAACAGGATTTTATTTGTGCATATGGCCACCAATCTATAGGAGTTCCCTGTTCTTTCAGTTCTTCAATTGTTTTAAGGTTCCCTCCCCCATTTAATATCTCTTTATATTTAACCGTTTTTCCCATTTCTCACACATTGGGATAAATTATTGCCTCCATCGTGGAAAGCCATCTCGGAACTTTTGTGTATTGTTTTCGTTTTATTTCACCCCATGTCAGCGTTAGTGTATCTCTTATTTTGTGTCTATGGAAGTATGTTCTAGTTCTTTTTCCAGTATCCCAAAGGTAAGCGTGCCAACCCTTCTGAAGGTCATGCCCTTCCAAGGTCAGGAGTCTTTTATTTCCCAAGATTGCCCACTCCTTCAACCATACTAGATTTGCTGTTTTGTAATAAGTCTCCCATATGGGGAGTCCGAAACCACCCCTATCCTTTTTGTCTTGCAAGTTTCTAATTGCTACCCTTGGTTTCTCCCCCCCCCCAAATAAATTTTCTGATGATAGTATTAAGTTCCGAGAAGAATTTTTTATCTAATTTGACTGGGACAGTTTGGAATAGGTACAGCAACTTGGGTAGTACACTCATCTTTGTTGCTGCAATCCTGCCTAGGAATGATATTTGAAGTTTCTCCCATTTTTCTAAATCCTGTTTGATATTCCTGATCAGGGGCACATAATTATCTTCCTTAAGGGCCGAGCACCTTGCCGATATCCATACACCCAGGTACTTTACCTTCTTAACTATTTGAAGCCCCATTGATTCTTCCAGTGCTTTCTTTTGGTCCTCAGTCATGTTTTTGGTCAACAATTTAGTCCTTTGTTTTTCATAAATTGTAGTTATTGTGTTTACAAAATTTGATCCGAATCCCACCTTATTGATTTGTTGTTTCATGAACTTCCAATTCAGGTTATCAAACGCCTTCTGGGCGTCTAAAAAGACCAGTACTATTTCTTTATCTGGGTGTTCCTCGTAATATTCAAGTACATCTAATACCATCCTTGTGTTGTTTTTTATCTGTCTCCCCGGGAGAAATCCGTTTTGGTCACTATGTATCAAGTTGTTCAGGATTATCTTTAATCTTCCTGCTATGATGCTCATATAAATCTTATAATCCATATTAAGGAGGGAGATTGGTCTATATTTTTTTATTAATTTTAAGTCTGCTCCTTCTTTCTGGAGGAGTGTGATAAATGCCTCTCTCCACGATTCCGGTATTTTAGATTTTGTCAAGGCCTCATTATAAATTTCCAACAATTTTGGCAGGAGAATTTCCTCTAAATCTGGATTTTTATATAGTTCTCCTGGGAATCCATCTGGGCCCGGTGATTTGTTCTTTTTGAGTTTAGAGATAGCCGTCTTTAATTCTGTCATTGTTATTTCTTTGTTGAGCATTTCTTTTCCTCCTCCCCAATCAGTGGAAGCTTTTCTTCCGACAGGTATTGGGCCACTTTTTCTTTAAGGATTTCTTCTTCTTAAATAGAGTAGCATAATATTCGCGAACTATCTCTAATTTCTCTTTTTCTTTGTTAACAATATGGCCCTCTTTATCTTCCAGCTGATGAATGGTCGCTTTCTCTTTTTCTTTTTTTAATCTGTAGGACAACCATCTACCCGGTTTATTGGCATTTTCGAAATAGTATTGTTTGGTTCGTTTTATTTTGTACGCCAGTTGTTCCTGATCCATAATACTTAGTCTATGATGTGTCAACATCCAATTTTCTTTAGCTCCCTCGTTGTCTGGGTTTTGCTGCACTTCCTTCTCTGCTTTCCTTACTTCTTCCAACAGTGTCTTCTGTATCTCTCTTTTTTCTTTGTTCTTATGTGAACTGTATGATATTGCCAGGCCCCTCAGAAAAGCCTTAATTGCATCCCATATTATACCTCGGGCCATTGCTTCCTTTTCATTTTCTTCAAAGAATAATTTTAGTTCTTCCTTTACTTTCTCAAAATTTTGGTTATCCCGCAGGAATTGTGTATTTAGCCTCCATCTTATGTTTCTTTTCTTATACAGATTTTTCCATTTAATCTCTAGCGGGTTGTGGTCTGCCCATATATTAGGTGTAATTTCAGCTGACATAATATCCATCCCGGCATTTCTTCTTACCCACATCATGTCAATTCTTGACCATGATCTTTTGGGGTTGGAGTAGAACGTATATTGCCTCTTATATGGGTGCAGGGTTCGCCAAATGTCTACTAGGTTAAATTTGTCTACTAAATCAAAGGATGGTTTTGGCAGATTTTTCCTTTTTTTCTTTTGGCCTTTAGTACTTTTATGGTCCTTGTGCGAATCTACTACTCCATTAAAGTCTCCAATTATACAGATGTTATTATTATTATCAATACTACTTATTTTTTCTCGTACTTTTTAATAGAAATTTCCCAAGTTTTTATTCAGGGCGTATATAGCTATTAATAATATTGGGGAATTATCTCTCCTTGTTTCCACTGCTAATATCCTACCCTTCGGGTCAGCATACTTTAATTCTGCTTTTATTTCCTTCTTAATATACAATGCCACACCTCTCTTTTTTTTTCTCAGCTAAGGAAGTAAAAAGGTTTCCAAGTTTATTGTACTCCAGGTATTTTTCATTTTCTTTTTTTACATGCACCTCTTGGAGGCATATTATATCCACGTTTTGTTTAACTAATTTTGTGAAAAAAAATTTCCCCTTTTTATTATCATTCAGACCATTGACATTAATCGATATTAGTTTCCAATCTTCCATCTTTTATATTCTTTGGGTTGTTTTAGTTCTTGTTTGCCCGAGTAGCTCTTTGTGGTCTTTGCTTCTTCTTTACCTCCTTACTTTCCTTGTCCTCCATCTCTTTCTCCTCCGGGGTCGCTTTAGATCTCCTCTGCTGGATAATTTCTAGAATCAGTTACATTTTCCAATTTTTTTTGAAATAGAATTAGGTAAATGTTTGGCTAGACAATCCTAATTTTAAAAATGGTAGAAATTCTTCTACTGTGATGACAGGTGGTGAATCATGGTGTAAATAAATGCAATTCCATATAAATAAAAAAATAAAATAAAATAAAATATTTTGAATCTTTCATATTTTATATCTGGAATGATGCATTCATAATAATATGATTCCCTAAATGTGGGTCTTTGGTGCTCTCAAGTTTGATTGTTTGCTTGCAAATCTTTCATTACCCAATATTAGGGAATCCAAGAGAACTCCCTAACTGTTCATCAAAGATATAAAAATCCATCTCTTATTTATTTTCTTAGCATGTTTTCCTCAAAATTTCATGATAAATTTGCTTCCACATTGGATTGGGTATTACCATCCACAGGGAACACAGTTTTCTGTTTTAGATATTATACTTTTGACATTTTGTAGCCAGTGCCTAAAACAATGGTGACAGACTGAGTAATTCATGAAAAAAATGTGGTTTTTTATTCTTGTTTTAGGACAAAATATTTACAATTAGATAAACATTATGGCTGCATACATCTTAACACCTCTGTCAGAAGAACATGTTCACACTAGTGCAGAATATAGAAATAATATAAGAAAGAAAAATTAATCATGCACAACATTTTCATTGGATTTTACTAAAAGGAAACACTTCTAGACATAAACTAGTATTTGTTCTTGTCTAGACAAAATTCACAGAAAGATTTGCTTAAAACTTACAGACATAATAAATACACTATTATATCCATTTTGTTTGTTTGTTTGTTTGGTTGGTTGGTTGGTTGGTTGGTTGGTTTGGTTGTCACATTTTGAGGAAGCTGCTAGTGAAGTTCACTGTTACACAAGCTACCATATTTAATGTTTAATCTTCATATGAAAAGCATATGGCACAACTTTATAAGTAGCTCACAAGTAAACATCCAAAACTGTAGTATGTAAGTTGGTTTTCTTCTCTGATAATTGCAAACCCAGGCCCCAAGCCTTATGCATATTTTATGGCAATGGCAAAAAAAAGAAAATGCAATAACGTTGAAGCATAACAAAATATCAGCATGAACATCATTTTACAGCTTTCATCCAAATGCTTCCTTCAGTCTCTTATTTCTTTCAGAAACCACCCAAGGCAATAACAATATATAGGTCTTTATACAACACACACTTTGGCTACTGCACTGATTTTTCAGTGAAAAAGCAACTTCCAAGCAACAAAATCTGCTTGCATGTTATCTTCATTTTGCACTAAATTAATATGCAGCTTAATTTCAAGCTATTATTTGAAAGGATGCAAATAAAAGCATAATTATCATCATTAAAAGGTTAAAGGTTTCCCCTATCCAGCCATGACAGACTCAAGGAGGTGATGCTCATCTCCGATTCTCAAGGAAGCCTATGTTTGTCCGAGAGATGCTACCATCATTACGCACCAGTATAAAAATCCAGAATGCAGTAACCTTTCCTGCCAAAGCAGTACTTATTTGTTTACTAACATTTGCATGCTTCTGAACTGCTAACAAGAGCTGGATAAGTAATGGGAGCTCACCCTGTTGTGCAGGACTCGGTCTTGATCCCAGGCAGCTGACAAGCTCAGTGTCTTGAGCCACTGTGAGCCTTTATTCTAATTAGAACCAATTAATATTGGCCAAATCTGTCTGAGTTTCCTGAAAGGAAAGGGTACGTTCCTAGTGACAGAGAAGTTTTTTTTTTCATCCTCAACTTCTTAGTTATTCTAAATTTTTTTGTGTATCATTACTACTATTGATAATATGCATGGTTTTTTTGTTATGTTCTCTATAAAATATGCCTATTTTACAGTCTATTATGCTACAACTCCCAGCCTGCTAAAGCTTTTGTGAAAAATCCTGATAGGAAAAATTCCCTCACAATATCTTGTGATTTAAGAAATTTAAATAAATATTAACATAATTTTATTATAGTATTATCATTCACACACACACACACACACACACATGCACATACATGTATGTGTATATACACACATATACACACATGTATGTGTATGTGTATATGTATATATATGTGTGTGCACATATACACACATACACATACACATGCACACACACATACACACATATGCACATACATGTATGTGTATGTGTATATGTATATATGTGTGTGCGTATGTGCGTGTGTATGTGAATGATAGTACTATAATAAAATTATGTTAATATTTATTTTAATTAATTAATTAATTTAATTTAATTTATTAAATAATATGAATATAAAATTTAAAAGTGCTGGTAGAAAGAAAGATGGGATGCTCATCTTGTACACATCAGTTTACAGAGTAATAATAAATATGAATAGTGCAAACAACTGCAGCTTTAAACACAATATTTTGTTGTTTTTTAAATGACAGACTGTTTTATGGCATATGCTAGATAAAAAAATAATAAGAATGAATTTGCAGATTAAGCAAATTAAGATATTTTACCCTATAGAAAACCAAGAAGGAGAATCCAGAAAACCTATTCATGGTAGTAGCCTCTGCACTTGGCAGTAGCTTGCCCTTGAATTTAGGATCACCCCTTCCAAAACTATTATTTTTGAAAGCCATTAAGGCTGTGCTTTTCTAGTGGACCTGGGAGGTAGGAAATGCAATATAATGGAAACCACAGCTTCCATGAAATGTTACATAATCTAGTTCCGAGGCCACATGATATACTATTATATATTTATGAGGCTTCTTTTTTAACATGTTGTGATATATATGTTTCTATTTTATTGTAAGCTGTCTAGAATCATAAAAGTAGGTAGTATACAAAATTATGTATAAGTAAAATCATACCACAAGCAGGATTTGTGTATGAAATATATTTATTTTGTGGTTTGGCTTTATATTTTTATATTTTAATTGGATTTAATTATCACATTAAACTCCTTTATATAGTAAAATATTATATTTATAAGGAAATTCAGTTTTATTTTTATGATCATCACTATTGTTAGTGAGATTCACGTTTTTTAAGAAGCAGAGTGGAACCATGTTTGTCTTATTTATCCTAGGACATTGCTGTTATTTTTATGAGAAATGTTTCCTTATAACATGAAATTATACTTTAAAATATATAGTTTGTAAAAATGCTATATCAAAGAAAACTGAATAGGACAATATATATTATTAAATTATAAAAGAGAACAGGGTGATGCATATTGTGTCCTTTAAATGAATGGTACCTGATTTACAAATTTTTCAAATCGTATCAAGTCCATTTTGATAGCAGTTATTTAATATTTAAATAAATAAATAAATGGGATGCAGCTGCAGAGTTAGAATTCAACCCAGTAGTTTGCATTAAAACATATAATAAGCAAATAGACAAAGATCTGGTATAATTTTTGGAATACTGTAATAAAGAAATAACTGTTCACATCCTGGAAATATGACAATAAAATAATACCAAAGTCATATAGCCCCTTAGAATTCCTTTAGAAAGAAGCAATATCCATGCTTCAGAATACCTGATTTGATGTGAGCACTTAATCACTTCCCTTTGCTTTTACAGACACAAACTACTATCTAAATCCTTGACTTTGTTATCTTCTAATAACTTATGATGCAGTCATTTGAACCTGAGACCTTCTGCTTGTAAAATATATCCTCTAATCTACAGTTCTGATTAACCCCTGACTTAGCAAAGTAACTAGCTCTTCTGTGATATAAAAATAAGTCTCATTTCCAAAGAGATAGCTTTTTGCGGACACCTGATTACTGTTACTACTTGTTATTGTTATTATTTCCTGGTTTTTTTTGGACAACTTTATCATGTGTGCAGACTGTAATTCTGAGAACTGTACTATAATGTAGTCCTGATAAAATTAGTCAAAGTGGCTAATTCTTTCCTAGGAATGTATGTTATAAAGATAAGGTCACTATTTACATAGGCAGGAATTAATTAGGTGATGTTTCCTTCTCAATTTCCTATTATATATTTACTGGCCACCTAATTCCAGTGGGAAGCAGAATACCCACAAATCAGGGATTTTCTATTTTATTTCAGTGATTTCTCTGAAAAAGCACATTCAATTGACAATTTTGTATACAAATAGATTGATTTCAATTCATATTTTCATATGCAAGTAGAATCACACTCAATTATTTTTCAGTCTAAATTAAAACTCGCCTACTTCTTTTTACTGATAATATCAGTCTGAGGCTGATGTCTATATCTCATGTTTAAAACACACTTTTGCTTATGTATAAACAAACTTAAATAGATGAAGAATCCAAATTAGGTATAAAAATATGATTTAAAGTAGTGCATGAAGTGTTTGCATACAGTGACTGGTTTCTTTAATCATAACTCAGAGTGAAATGGTTTCTTGCTGAGGAAGTAAAGACTACAATACAAACAAAGAATAGAATTGATATGTTTATTAGGAAATAAACATTTAAGAAAGGTTAAAGCATGATAATGGAAGAAATAACTATAACTACTATTCTTGATATGCATGCCTGACTTCTTTGGTTAAAAAAGATATAGAAAGCAATGTAGATTCTCACTGTGTTAAGAACTTCTAATTACATGTGGAAGAACCAATGTGAATATAAAAATTCTACAGGGGCCTGGTGGTTGAGGTGGCTGATGGTTGGCCTCAGACTAACAGGAATTTTAAAGCCTTTTTTAAAAAATCAAAAATTGAAGTGGCAGAAACATTCAAAACTTTTTGAAATGTTTCTGAATCCAAATTCAGAGACTAATTCTACAGTGATTTCACACAAAGTTATTTTGGCTTATCAAGACTAACATTCCAGGAAGAGATGATTAAAATGCCACTGTTCATGTAGAAAGAATGAAGTTAAAGCTGAACCATAAATAATTTTATATCTCTGCAGCTTCATTTCTGCATTAAGAAATAGTAGATTTTCAGCCATGTTTTAAAATATACAAATGTTACCTATTATGTTGTTAATCTGCCTAACATACTTCCAGCTTCAAATTCATTTCCTTTCTGGCTGTTTACAATATGAAGGTCAACATGATGGAAAATAGTTGCCTAAATTACAGTGAACCTTCTCCAGTTTTCAGTGTGTGCATTTTTAGGATTTTTCCAAAGGGAAAGCAGGAGAAAAATGAATTATAATGTATGTATTTTGTACAAACAATATCAAATATATTAACCTGGAGGCCGTGCGGATCTGGATGGGGAGAAACAGACTCAGGCTCAACCCATCCAAGACCGAGTGGCTGTGGTTTCCGGTGTCCCGATATAGTCAGTTGGAGCCATCACTGACTATTGGGGGCGAGTCATTGGCCCCCACGGAGAGGGCTCGCAACTTGGGCATCCTCCTGGATTCACGGCTGTCTTTAGAAGAGCATTTGACGGCCGTGACTGGGAGGACTTTTCATCAGGTTCGCCTGATCTGCCAGTTGCATCCCTTTCTAGATCGGGACTCCTTACGCACGGTCACTCATCCCTCGTCACTTCCCGCCTGGACTACTGTAATGCTCTCTACATGGGGCTCCCCTTGAGAAGCATCTGGAGGCTCCAACTGGTGCAGAGTGTGGCCGCGCGGGTAGTTATGGGAGCGACATGGCATTCCCATGTAACACCTCTCCTGCGCGAGCTGCACTGGCTCCCAGTGGTCTTCCGGGTGCACTTCAAGGTTTTGGTTACCACCTTTAGAGCACTCCATGGCTTAGGACCTGGTTATTTACGGGACCGCCTGCTGCCACCAATAGCCTCCCACCGGCCAGTACTCTCTCATAGAGCGGGGCTCCTCCGGGTGCCGTCGGCCAAACAGTGTCAACTGGCAGCCCCTAGGGGGACAGCCTTCTCTGTGAGAGCACCTGCTATCTGGAACGAGCTCCCCCCCGGAGATACGGAGGATCCCAGATCTACGCACCTTTCGCCATGCTCTCAAGACTTTCCTATTTCAACAGACTGACCTGGCCTAATTTTTTCTTTTCCCTTTTAATTCAAATGATGAATTTTAATTTTGTCTTAAAAACATTAGGGTTGTTTAAATTGTCATGGGCCAAATTATTTAATCAGATTTTATACTGTTTTTACATTTTGTAATTTATGTGTTTTATCTGGCTGTTCACCGCCCTGAGTCCTGCGGGAGTAGGGCGGTATATAAATCTAATAAAATAAATAAAAAATAAATAAATAATCTTATTATTAATATAATTATTAATATTATTAATCCCAATTATTAAATGGGGTAATTTTTTAATTGAATATTCTTTTTCTTCCTCATTTCCTAAAAGTACTTACCATAGTTTGTATATATTTAAAGAATATAAATATTTTTATATAGTATGTCTTCAGTATTCAGTATTGAAGAAGCAATTCATGTCAATTGTCCCTCTGAAAACACTATCTTAATTTGTTGGAATAATTCAGTTTGTGTGAATGTTTTCTCTTATAGAGTAAATTAGAATATCCATATGAGTAGCTTTTTATTTTCTGAGAAGTGTATCTTCTCTCACTAAAATATATCTACACTATACTTCATATAAAACATTAGTTAATAACTGCAAATAAGGAGGCATCAATTTAATTGCAAGATTAAGTCAGAATGACAAAATGGATCATACTTTTAGAATTTGTATAACTAAAAGACTTTGCAAAGGTTTTTCAAATCTTTAAATCCAAATCCACCTTTAATTGTCCATTAAATGCAGAGTAGACCTATATTATAGTATTTAAAAAGTAGTAAGCAATTTCCCAGTTTACTTTTTGTAAACAGACAATAACTTGGATGTAAAATATCCCAGAAATACATCATTAAGATATTTTTTAATCCAAGAAATAGTTTTTGATCCAACAAATGATTTAATATTTGCAATTAACATTGATTCAGTCCATCCACTTCAGATAAAAAACAAATTAAAAGCCTTTTGATTTTTTAAAATATTTTCAATGAAAAATATTGATTCAAAATGTACATAGGTGACCTCCAAACAATATTTGGAGTAGAAGATTTATCTTTTTTCTCAGCCAATTTATAGATTTGTTAAGAATCTTTTGTTATCCTTAAATATGTTAACTGTTTTCTTGGAAAAAGTGGTTTAAAATTATTTAAGTATTTATTATTAGACTTGTCAATGAATGCTGGATCAGACAGATTTTAAATTTATTTACCTCAGACATTTATTTGATTCCAAGGGTACTAATTTTTCAGTAAGCAGGTATACAGTATAATTAATTGAGTATATGTTATCTATAAGTTGAATCGTTTTAAGCATGATTAACATTCTTAGATCAATATTATTTCTAATGAGTGCTTACATAAATGGATGGGTAAATCGCCTCCTATCTAATAATAGTAGTAATAATAATAGATAATAATTGCACTAGGGCCAGTTTATTTGTCAAAGCTATGTCACAAATTGCAATAAAAAAATTGTTGAAAAATATGGTACTGAATTGGAAATACTATCATAATATCTGAGATGGTTATCTGAGGGAACATCTCTTGCCAGTCACATCCACCCAGCCTATTAGAGTGGGCAGGCAAGGAATGTTGTGAGTCCTGTCCCAAATGGAGGTATAGGCAGGATCCAAAAGAAGGGCCTTCTCTGTGGCTCCCTCCCTTTGGAATATCATCTTTTCAGAAATTAGACTGGCTCCTACTTTGACACTGTTTTATAAGGCCCTGAAGGCTTGACAGTGGGCCTGGGGAACCCAGAGTGGAATGGAGCCCATCAAATGGTTTATTTGATTGTGTTGTCACCAAGGGTGGATGAATGGAGATTATTTTTTCTCCCTACACTGTGTTTTTATTGTTTGTAAGCTGCCTAGAGTCACTGTGAGCGAGTAAGCAGCTGTATAAATTTTCTAAATACATAAACCAACAAACAAATAAATAATACATTTTTAAAATTTATGACATTGTGATTTTATAAGGATAATATAAAAGGTTTATACCTGCCCATCTTTTGGGCTACTGTCTTTTTCCCCCTCACTCCCTACCCAGCTTTAATAGAAGATCAAAATTTCTAATATTGTGCTGAATAATATGCAATGACCTAGCCTGCCTTTTTGTATGTCAAAAATCTTGTATTTGAATTCAATTGTCAATCATATTTGTTATATGGCTGGCAATTACCAGTTTATCTGTTTTCAGAATAGAATTGACACGTTAAAGGAAACATCAGTATAATTTCATAGAATAAGTGATTTGTAGATTGCATGTATTTGTATTTGCATGCAGCTTCTTTTTTCAGTGTGTTATCTAAAATGCATTCTGTGTTTAATACAAAGGCCATTGGCAGTGTCCTTAAATCTAGAAAACAAGCTTCATTATTTAAAATAGATAACATTTTTAGACTCAAGACTCAAAACAGTGTTCACTTATAAAATTTAAAGGAGGCTTGATCGTATGGCACTTATCTAAGGACTTTGGGGACTTCCTTTTCATAGATTAAAAAAATATAGTTGAATTAAAAATTATAACAAGGACTTCAAAGAATACTATATTATTATGTAACAATATGTAGAAAGATTGGCAGTAAAATTTTACCAAACAGCATTGTCATTTAGTTTGAAAAACTAAAGTTAATAACAAGTAGAAATACTGTGGTAGATTATGCTGCATCTTCACTGGATATCTTTTTTCCCCCACCTGACATTGTGACTTTGCATAGCAAGCCACATAAGTATTTTGTTTCTTGGGGTATTTTTTTTTTCATTGAGCTTCTGTTCATTAAAAAGTATTTCCATACTGATTTTTATCACTGTAATCAAAATGAGAACTGTTGAAAAGTGAAAACCTTAATTTGGTTTTTGGTGAATGTCCTCATGCCTAACAATTTTATAGATAATCCAGTAGAAAATGTTGAATATAAGAAAGGCTAAAGGGAAACAGGCTCTGGATAAGGTATCAATTTTCTTGGCCCGATCAATGAATACCTTCCTCATTTCTTCAGGAGTAAGGGATGCAGACTGAACTGGATTATTGGACCCTTTTGGAACCACTCCGTCCTTTGCTTGTATACATGGTGGGCTCATTCCATAGCCTGTGAAATTGAACCGATTGTCCCTTATATCATCATCCTGTGAAAGAAAGAAAGAAAGAAAGAAAGAAAGAAAGAAAGAAAGAAAGAAAGAAAGAAAGAAAGAATTAGAATTCTTGAACCTAAATATTTTTTGTCAAATTTACATCTTCATTTTTAAAAGGAAACTCTGTGTTTATAAGAAAATTTTCTTTTTTTTTGTCTAAATAATATAAATGGGAAAAGATGGTATCCCTTGTAAAAATAAAGAAGCTATTGAAAACAAAAACATTGCTGCTGCAAAGTGTAGGAAAGGTCTTTAAATATTAGCTTGAAGATTTGTTGCTGCTTGACTTTTTAATTTTGAAATAGGGTTCTTCTGTCTTTTTTTCCATTCCCTGTCCTGTTATCTCTACTCTTACATATCCTTCTGCTTTTATCATTTCCCCTATTTCTTTTTTGTTTCTTTTCATGTGTAGTAACTCCTTTCCCTTACTCTATCATTAACCTGCTTTTGGTTTCCCTCTTTTTTTTTCCGCAAGAAAAACATACATCTGCCTGTGAACATATGTGAGTGATTTTGTTTGTGAGAAAGAATGTTTACTATCGACAGAAAGTCAACCTATACTGTATATACTGTAAATTAGTATACACGTTTGTCACATATAAAAATGGGTGGTGTACGCATATGACATGAGCTTCTCCTTTCAAGTTTGCTAATATGGTGTTGAAGAAGATCTATACTACTTGGAACAGGAGTGACCAACCTTGGCAACTTTAACACTTGTGGACATCAACTCCCAGAATTCACTAGCTAGTATGCTGACTGGGGAATTCTGAGAGTTGACGTCCACAACTCTTAAGAGTTGCTAGGGTTAGACACTCTGGTTTAGAATATGACTTATACTTTTCAATTATGTGCCATAATGTAAAATTTATAACTGTCTAAAGAAGTACAGGTTTACTCAGCATGGGGCAAAGACGAAAGAATGACATCGGAAAAATGGTGTAATATATTTGTGCAATCTTGGATCAAAAATAAGTATTTGCTTTCTGATTTAAAACTGGCCCTTTATTAATGACATGGAATGTGTGGTCAAAATTTTATGATGTATTTAAAATTGCACTGAATTATTTTCTCCATTAGTAATATATTTTAATACATTTTTTCTGTTTTTGTTGTATTCTTTTTCAGTCTCTTTTTGTATATTAAAGCAATAAAAATAAAATATGTGTGTCAAATGCACACATTTTAAAAAAAAGAATGTCAAGAATTGGTGTCAGAGTCAATAAGATGAATATTGGACATTTTCCAAGATTTTCTATAATTTTATACTATTTTTAATGTCCATTCTTCCTTTATGACATATAATCATCTTAAATTCAGAGATATTTTCCTTTCAAGAGATGGTATCTATTGCCACAGTGAAATGGGTAGCAAACAAATTTAATAAATAAATATGGTATTTAAACAAAATTTATAGTATCTACAGAATGTGATAAAAGAGTGAAGATGTTGGCTGGGACAGGATCTTGTTTTCCCCAAAATAAGACTCCACTGATAATAAGCCCAATCAGGCTTTTGAATGCATGGCAATAAGGCCAAGCGCTTATTTCAGGGTTCCAATATATATATATATATATATAAGACAGGGTCTTATTTTTGGGGAAACATGGTATATTGATGCTCTGTCTACTTTGGATATGTATCTTCCATATAGTATACATAAAAAACCATCAGAGCTTCAGTTGCATAGTTGAGGCCAGCAATGTGAAACTTTTTACTATATGCTGTAGCTATTTTACCATATTCTATAGATATATTTGGCTACTTTCTTGCCTCAATTTCTGCAGCTTTTCCCCCAGCTGTATCTTGTTTCCATTTTGATCCAAGTTCTGTGATTCAAAAAATGTAAATTAACTCCTATCTATTAAATGTTTTTTAGAAGTCTGTTTTCCTTAATATTATGAGGAATTATTACTAACTGCAAGGTGCCACTTTGGTGGGAAGATAACAGCATTCCATGTGCTTTGGCATATAGCCATGCTGGTCACGTGGTCACAAAAATAGCCTTCAGGCAACACTAGCTCCCTTGGCCAAGAAACAAAGATGAGCATTATGCCCTAGAATTGGACACGACTTTTATTAAAACTTTAGAAGGGTATCATGTATCCACCTAAATTTAGCTGTACTTGTTGTAGTTAAAGGGCAAACTGTAGAGTTTATGTGCTACTTCATTGGAGAAGGATCGGTCTAAATGTTGGATTTGGACTACTAGTCTATTTTTTATGTTACTAATTTGTATTTATTCATGATATTTTTTACTTCGGCAACTACAGAGATAACCTTAGAGAAGTTAGCAAAATGTTAATTCAGGCAGAGAAAAGAAGAAAATGTTAGAAAGAAATTTGAAAGTGACTCTAAACTGGCCTGCTTCCAAGGGCTGATTTGTTACTTGAATATTAAATGTGGGGAAAATATCTTGGAATGTAAATATGACCTCTCCGTGTTTATGTTTATGTTTTATGTTTTATTAAATTTATATAGTGTCATGTGGCTACAAAGAAAAAGGTAAATACTGTTGTACTGTAGGCCTGGAGAATGTTGTAAGACTCTTTAAACTCTTGGGTAAAGGATGCCATAGGAAGACATGCTCTCTCCTTTGTTCCAGAGTGCAATATACATGATAGTTTATATTTAAGTAAGGAAGCCAGATTCCATTGGGCATTAGAAAAAACATTAATGCATTTGTTAATGGAATTAATTAACCAGAGAGGTGGTAGGCTTCCTTTCACTGAATGTGTTCAAAAAAGCTAAAATAGCCATCTGTGGGAGACATTTTAATTTAGATTCCTGCATTGAGTAGGACATGATCATCTAAATGCCCACTTCAAACTTTATGATTGTGATTCTAGTTAATGATGGGCCAATTTACATTTTAATTTTGGCAAGTCATCACATCAGATAATTTGTCATGCCATTTCTTCATGACATATGTTGTTCTTAAAAAGCCACTGTTTTTAGAAGATTTTTGCATATACAGTATGTATATCAATGAATTATCCACAAGTGAGCTTGATTAAAAATGTTTTACATCAAACAGTCAAATGAATACAGCCATGTAGAAAATTGCTTTGAAAACCTGCAGATGGAGCCAAACCAATTCATAAAAATTGTGAAAACTTAATATAGCAATTCACATGTGTGGCTCGTGGCAACAAGCAAACAAAATGCTTTTATGGATTTGCTGCAACTATTGAAGTCCACAAAACCAAAAGAAGGAAATTTAAAGTGAGCATAACCCGAATAGTTAGAGTGCAGTATTGCAGGCTACTTCTGCTGACTGCTGGCTGCCTGCAATTTAGCAGTTCAAATTTCACCAGGCTCAAGGTTGACTCAGCCTTCCATCCTTCCGAGGTGGGTAAAATGAGGACCCAGATTGTTGGGGGCAATACGCTGACTCTGTAAACCACATAGAGAGGGCTGTAAAGCACTGTAAAGTGGTATATAAGTCTAAGTGCCATTGCTATTGCTAATAATTGTATGTGTTATTTTATTTTATATTTTTGTTTAGTAATATTTTTATACTATCCAGGGATATGTTATTTGAATTGGGTTGAAATATAAATCTTTTGAATGGATGGATCAATGGACAGATGGGTAGACAGACAAACAGACAGATAATTTTGTATGGGTTACTAACAATATGAGTCAGACATATAAAATGAGAAATGGAATGCTTATTATATAACTGAAAGTTGTTTTTCTTTTAAAACATGGTGAGGGGTTGCTTTTATTGTATATTATAAGAATGTTAAAGACAATAATTTAAAGTAATAGAATAGTCTTGGCTTAATGTGAACAATAAATGCTTAGTCTGAAAAGAATATTGATATTATCATCATCTGCAATGGCTGCCCAACCAAACAGGTATGGCATTCTTGGTATACAGTAATATAGTATACTGCTATATTATGCACATAAGCATCATTCCCCAAAAGATTTAGGCATTCTGTATCAAATTTGAAGTCGCTACTTAGCATTATCATTTTTATTATTCACAATAGTCTCTTAAATATAGTTAGCATAATAATAATTCCATTGTTGTTTCTACAATTGGCAGTATATAGCTAGACTTATCTAGACTTAATTGCTAAGCATGTCAGGCTCATGGAATGAAATGGAATGGAATGGAAAAGACCAATATATTCTGGAGACTGAAATACCTTTGCAAAAAAAGATGATAGTAAAACACAAGTTTTTTTTTTATTTGGGAGCATCCTGAAATATCTGCTTGAGTAATATTTAAGATAAAGGTATCAGGGATAGGGAGACAATGGAGTGGCAGTTAAAATGGTGGGCTTGTTGGCTGGAAAGCGGTAGTTCATGTTCAAGACCCAAGCACCACACAACGTGGTCAGCTTCCATCCTCAGTCACCCCAGCTTCTGCCGACCTAGCAGTTCGAAAGCAGAAAAATGTGAGTGGATAAATAGATACCACTTTGGTGGGAAGGTAACAGGACTCTGGGACAGCATTGGCTCAAAGGCCATGAAACAGAGATGAGCACTGCCCCCCTAAAGCTGTTAATGACTAGTGGAGTAAAATCCATAGGGACTCCTTTATCTTTTATCTCGGATAGGATAGAATTGCTGAAAATGTTAAATCACAACCACATTCACAATTGAGGGAGGCACATGTTATAAAGATGAAGAATAGTATAAATGAGTCAGGCCATATTAAATCATTCTGTTTTAAATGATTAAATGATTTAATATATATATAATCCATATATAATATGGATTCATGGCTGTCTTTAGAAGAGCATTTGACGGCTCTGGCCAGGAGGACTTTTTATCAGATCCGCCTGATTCGCCAGTTGCGTCCCTTTCTGGATCGGGACTCCTTACGCACGGTCACTCATGCCCTCATCACTTTCCGCCTGGACTACTGTAATGCTCTCTACATGGGGCTCCCCTTGAGGAGCACCTGGAGGCTCCAACTGGTTCAGAGTGCGGCCGCGCGGGTGGTTATGGGAGCGATGTGACGATCCCATGTAACA